TACCAATGCCGATAATTTTGACCCAATCATAGATCAAGATTTCCATTGAAGAACCGACACTTTTAACGCTCTTCCACGCTTCTGCTGAATGCATAGTCATTCTTCTGCTTTCATTGTTTCATGCTGGGATGTTGTTGCCTATCTTTCTGTCATCACATTTTAAGATGTAAATTTCAAAGAATGTTACGAAGATAAGGTGCATATTGCGCTCATAATAATGATGTAAATCAGATTATCTACAGAACTGACTTACCCAGTAATAATATGTTAAATCTATCTGCAAGTGTGATCATGCTATCTACACAATAAACTACCTCTAATCCATTAAAGCTATTTCTACCTAATATACGAGGTGTGACACAGAAAAATGGAGACGAAGTGTGTATCTTGAAAACAGAGTGAAGTTGACAACAACTGTTTTGGTGACATCATGCTACACATCCTCTATCCATGCGGCCAGTTTCGATTTAACCGAGCCTGCCAGAGGAGAGTACTACGTCATTGAGTGAACACGTGCAACTGCATTCTGCCGGAAAAATGTCTAATGTAAAAAACGAACAGCAAATTAGCCACGGAGGAAACATTTTAAATGTTAACCGAGGCTTATGGAGATAAAACTTTGTCTCATGCACGTGTGTCTGAATGGCATAAGCGGTTTTCAGGGAGAAGGGACAGTGTTGAAGATGATGAATGTGCTGGGCATGGGTTGCCAGTGGTCAGACTGTTACTCAATACTACTACATTGAGGTGCTAAAAAAGACTTCGTGAAAAAGTTAGGGAAAAAAAAGGCCAGAGTTGTGGAGTGATGGATGGCTGTTACACGAAGACAATGCACCCGCTCACACGGCCTTATCTGTCCAACAAAGACATTACTGTGATGGGGGCATCCTCCTTATTCACCTGGTTTGGCTCCATGCGACTTTTTTTTTATTTCCTAAAGTTAAATCTTTTTTAAAGGGAACCCATTCTACCTCATCTGAAGAGGTTAAGGCAAAAACGGAGAATCTCCTGACGGGCCTTCCAAAAACCTCGTTTCAAAACTGTTACCAGCAATGGCAGCACCGAATGCAGATATGTGTGAATGCTGAAGGGAACTACTTTGAAGGTCATAATGTCACGGAAAACTGATTCTGTAAGTACAATGATTTATTGGACCAGTCTCGTTTTTTGGTGTGTCACACCTTGTATTACTTGTATACATAATATGTATCAAAATCTTAAAATTTAAAATTGGAAGAAACAAATTATACTATCCTGGGAAAATTTTATAAACTAAATTAAAAAAGGTACCTATAAGTTTTATAACAAAGTGAGATGCAAATTGCTAAGAAGATTTAAAAAAATATTTTTGGAAGCGTTTTATTAAATTATTAGTAAAAAAATATTTTAGAAGTGAAAATAGAAATATTATTCATATTTTAATGCTTCAAACTGATTTCTCAAGTAGTAATAATTTATCATACATTATATATAATTATAGATTATTGGTTTTTATATGTATATACACATACAATTACATATATACACTATAAGACAAAGAAATCGACGCGCCAAGAAGGAGTAATGCAAAGTGGACACAAATTGACAGGTTTCGATGGAAAATGCAAAATTTTATAAAGATTTGCGGCCAATGAATGGACAGGTGACGCTACAGTGCATCTTAACTGTGCAACTAGCAGGATATTAAAGAGGAGAAATTTCGATTCCAGGTCATAAATTCTTTGCGAATTTCATTCCGTATACTCTTTGACCGCGTCTAGTATATAGGTCTTATTTATAAGCTCATTCAAATAGACTTCCCGCATGAGATACCATTCTCATACTCCGCTCGTTTTGGGAAAATCGTACCTTCTCTGTCCGACAATGAAACATCATCTCAGTTGCCAGAAATATCCTTAGCGGTGCCCCTAGGGAAGTGTTATCAGTCCTATTTTGTACATTTTATACGTAAATGATTTCCCGGACTTCAGCAATAATTACAACGCCTTGCTCGTGGACGACACGGCACTCCTGATAAAGTCTCGTCGGCCGAACCACGCTCTTGCTAAGTCAAAAGAAAAAATCCCTGTTATCGAAGATTGGTGCGCTAAATGGAAGACCCGCGTTCATCCAGAGAAGTCGCAAGTTTTACTTATCAGAAAATTTCGTAGCAAAGACAACATCACCAATAACATCACTCTTTTCGGGTATCCAAAAGTCAGCCAAGCTGTCTACCTTGGAGTCAAATTAAATCTCTCATTCACGTGGTCTTCTCACATCAAACGAGTGTGCAGCAAGGCGTAGGGAGCAGCCTTGAGATTATATACCCTTCTAAAGGATCAGCTCCTGTCACTATACCGTAAAAGGCAAATTTACACTTCAGTCATCCGGCTTGAAAGTGGAACTTATTTGTGATTTTCTGCACAGAATAAATGCTAAGTTTTATGATAAAGATACGCAAAACACGTCCGCCGGCTTCGCAGATATTTTCGCTTACGAAATACTTGAAGAAGACGAGAATAATAGGCCATTTGCAACTTTTCTCTTAGGTAGCGCAAACACGCAGAGACAAGATCAACACGTGTAACCTTCGTATTAATTTTATTGCAAATCTTGGACTTAAAAACTTCCAGTAGCTCAGCAGGAGTCATAGGACTGCCACCACACCCCTGATAGGACAATGCTAGTCTTTTGTCATTGCATCCTCACCCGCCAGTGAGATTTCAAAGACAATTCGCCTCAATGTTTTCTTATTTTAATGTATTTTATCTTAAGCTACACACCTTTATGGTGGATCAATTTAGTGAGGCCCCTCGTGGGATTCCGTGATAAGCTCTGGTAAGAGTGGAATTAATTCCCGCTGTAAACCAGAATATGCAATCAAAGCATCCGTTTACTCAGGTAGACAGTAACTGTGCCTCGCAAACAATATAGCAAATGTCATCATTTGAGAGAGGACGTGTAGTTGGGCTCGAAGAAAGGTTGGTTGATTTAATCGGCGAATCTCTCGACGTTTGGATAGGAGCAATGCCAGTATTAAGAGGATGTTGGCAGGAATGGGTGAACTATGGCTGAACACATCGTCAAGAAGGACCGATCAGTCGTCAGAGTCCCTGATTCATCATTATATCATCGATTCTACGTGCAACTGGTACTTCAGTGACTATACAAGGACCATTAGTAGGCGGCTCAAAGAAAGGTGGTTGAGCTCACGGCGACCCTTGCGCCGACTAACATTGGCCTCTGTTCACCGACAAGCACGTTTGCATTGGTGTCGTGAACATTCGACCTGGAATACCACTGACTGGAAAAGAATTGTCTTCAGCAATAACTCAAACTCAGCTCTTGACAGCAATGGCATACCAACCTGACTGTCGCCCGCCATGCGGCTCGACAATCAAGTGATGGTCTGGGGTGTCATTTCATTTAACAGCAGGACCTCTTTGGCTTAGAGCATTAGGGGCAAGGACCTCTAACCAGCTCGAGATTTTGCCGATCTAACGCGCCATTTGGACAGGATTTTGCACAAGATCTCACAGGAGCTATCCGCCAACTCTATCAATGAATGCCAAGCCGAATAACTGCTTGAATAAGGGCCAGAGCTGAACTAACGCGTTATTAATTTGCTCAATTTGCGAAGCTCATTCTCTTAAGCAAATGCAAATGTCATCTACCGATTTTCATCCCATTTGGATAACTCCTTTTTGGAGCGTGTTCCTTTTTTTACTATATATATGCCTTTCTTCCATTATATATAATATATATATATATATGCACGTGTAGCTTCAGAAATATTATGTTTAGTCGTATATTACTCTTGAACATGGCTTTTACACCTTTGCTTACTATAGTGAATGAATTATGATACATTTCTGAGCTTAGTATTATGTAATTATTGAAAGTATATTTTAACACTTTGCGGCACAGTGTGTCCGGTCTGGACATACCTAAAAATTTCCTTCTGTACGCACAGTATGTATGCTAATCTCCTTATTCTATATTAGTTTTAAATTTTTACCTTGAAATCTTGCCTAAAATCAAACAGCGAACCCTAGGTGTGCCCAGACCGAGCTCACCGATAATCTAGGACAACTGAGAGTCTATATTCTTTGTTTCTCCGCATCTCATCGGTCAGGGAAAAAAAAACAGCAAACTGTAACTTGTATCTGAAGGTCTTTATTTAGAATAATATATTCAACCTCCGAAAGGGAGCACATGAAAAGCAAAAACTTTCATGCATTCAAATGAATGAACAACAATGACAACAATGCACGTTTGACATTGTCTCATTGACAACAATGCTCGTTTCAGTACTCTTTTCGAAGCTCTATTCAGTCAGTGTGCCAACTTTGGGCACACCCACAGAATTAAAACGATAAGTGCTATTTTCACAAAATTTTACTTATGTACTCCTCTAGGCCTAATTAGACTGCCTACTTCTTCTTCTTCTTCTTCTTTTTTTTTTTTTTTTAAATCAAAACTCCGACTTTAAAAGGTAGCGTGCCGGAAAGGGTTAAACGTACACTATGCACTCGAAGGACGTAAAAGGTTTCTCATGTTTTGATTTTTATGAAAAATACACTTCTGTAAAATAAGCTGCATGCAGTTGAAAGATATAATTCAGCTGATGTTAAATTACGTTTATTGGAGATAATTACGCATAAAATAAGTCCTAACGTACTGATACAACACATATTCATTTCAAAACAAATAAATGCTATTATAAATATTAAAGAGTATAAATAATTCGGACAGACTGGCAACAGTTAAACAGTAGCTGGCTAAGAAAACATTGCATTATAGATCAAAATATTAAGCAGTTGTGTGTGTTTGAATGCATGAAAGTTTTTGTTTTTCATGTGCTCCCTTTCGGAGGTTGAATATATTATTCTAAATAAAGACCTTCAGATACAAGTTACAGTTTGCTGTTTGTGATTTATAAGGGCTGTTTTCATTATGAAGCATGAGCAAATAAAAAATAAAATAAACAATTGCGATTCAGAAAACTATATGTATCAATGCACTTTATAGCTACAAAATCAAAGATATTTTATTGCACTAGAACATTGTGATATTTAAAACATCATATACAATATAAGCAATATAACTTTACAATTCTTCAGTTTTTCATAAGAAGCACAATATCTTTGAGTGATATTTTACATTTTGAATAAATTAACTTAATCACACATTAAATTTAAAACATAACTTTATAATATTTCATACTTTTTATTTGATAACTATATGTCAAACATTAACAGAGAGACCACTTGTAAAACAATATTTACCTTGAACACATGATCGTTTATGAACTGATTTATTCAAATAGCATTTAACTTGCATTATCATTAGAATGACAAGTTTGATTTCTGCATTCTTTAGCGGTTGAAAAATGATTTCAGCCGCTTCATTCGACTAATACCGTAAAAATTGTAAGTCTACTATCTAAAATTCTCACAACATGAAATGAATATCTATACGTAACTATTTCAGTTTTATGTGAGAAACAATTTGTTATTTAGCTTATACATGAATGAAGCAACAAAATAGTAGTTTCAAATTACAGACATTAAACAAAAGTTGCAACGACATTAAACGCTTATTAGTATAGACTGCCAGTCTGAGCTTGTTACTTGCTTAATAAAATGAAATTTTGTTGATCAGTGATCCAGCATGAAAAACTGTAAACATTATGATAAATTTATAAACCACAAAATAAGTTTTTTGTAACCAATAACTTCTGTAGAAACTATTGCTGTAAGAAAACACAACTATCGCTATATACGTACAACTGTCTTAAAATATACGTTGCTTAACACAGACCAATTTTAATACACTTAATTTAAAGTGCATCCAATTAATTTACCTTTCTTCAGGTCTGGTGAAAAATGGAAGCCTTATATTATTTACAATGTAATTACAATTTAAGGGTGGACGTGATGCTTCTCGAAAATAATTCAATAACTAATCTTTTAATTAAATTGCTCAAATTAGATTCAACTTTATTAATATAGAGACGGATTGATGTTTTATTTAGATATGGACGAATTGATTAAATTCAGTGAACAAAGAGATCTTCACGAGGTCCTTAAACTTCTTCCCAATCAAACAGTGCCTGTATATTAAGATGATGGCAAATTTTATGCTAGTAATTGATATTTAAAATTTTTTTCTAATATAATACACGGAAATAAAAATAAAAAACTGAACTAAAATTTAAAATAATTATGAGGAAATGTAAAAACACATTTTGTGCAATTTTTCATTTGATTTAAGTCACATTTTTAAACTTATTTCGTAAAGTTGCAGTGACGACGAAACTAATTTTAAAGGCTCTTGGGCAATTGTTATAACAGTCTGGCTTACAAAGAAATGCATTATGAATATATGCATTATTTACTGAAATCTGAGCTTAATAAAAATAATAGATAATGCAGAGAGTTCAGGATTATATTATTCTCACTCCCTTCCCTTTCTCAACACACAAGAACGCTAATTCTTTTTACTACGTGCTGCAGATGATATATAAATTATTTCCTTTAATATTTTATTTTTTATAAGTATCCTTAGGCAATCTCAACAGTTAATGCTGTTTTAAATTAGAATCCTGAAGGAAAACAAATGCATTTATTTTCCTTTTAATAACAGGAGTTAACATTTCTCAATTTCACCAATTTCTAAAATAAGCGCTTAAAAATAGGGCTGAAACCTAAATATATGCATTTCGCAATACCTTACGAGTTTCTGAAGAGAAGATTTTGATATAATATCAATTCCTCGAAATTAAAATTTGCCATCGCAGTTTACCAAAATAATTTGTATACAAATAAGAAAAACATTAATAAACGATATATTTATCTTCGTGACTTCTTTAACAAAAGATAACAGTCTAGATCTAATTAAAAGTGCATGAGATTATATAGAAATTCTCATCCGATATGTGGACATGGACGATAATCTATTCATTTCAAAATTTACGATAAATGGATATTGGATGACAACCTGATAACAGTATAATATTATGGCTATAGACCAAGATTTCTGCATATAGCAAATATGCCTTCGTCGTTGACTATTCTTTTTTTTTTTTTTTTTTACTTTCAGACTTAATTTCTATATCTGAATAAATAAATGCATAATTGCAATTCTAATCCAATTTATCTTCAAATTATTACAATTCAAATAATTTTTTCCCTTTCAAATAATCACAGTTCAAATTCATTTTTTATATAACCATAATACAAATCCAATTTTTAAAACCAGGAAAACTTTATGCTGGCACTTTAACTAAAGATCTATATTACTTCTTACGGAAGTAAAACAGAAGAATTTGCATATATATCCTATATCCTTGCAATAAAAATATAGTAAATAATTTTGCATATTCACTGTTAAATTAATAAATACGGGTTACGATAAAATATACATATGCTACAATTAAATGAAAGGAATTAAACAGTAAAATACTTTCATAAATAAAACTTTCAGTATATCCAAAATATGATTGTATTTTTAAACTAAGTATATAAACTTAAAATTCGCACTGTTAATTCCTTTAGGTCTTATATTTATGTGATATGGAAAATTGCTCGTTTTCTTTGCTAAATTACTATGTATATTCCAAGAATTTTATTTACTGCGAGAAGTTCTAAGAACTTTATTGTCACTAAACTTGTGTCATTTAATTTATTGACGGTATATGAAAGAAAATTTCAACCGTCATGTATTATATAAATTCACTACGCTAACTAACACACAAACACATACAAAAAATCTATGAATTTTCATTATTTCTAGAACCACTCGATTTTTACTCAAACGCACGAAGGTTAACCTGTGATATCGCAAATAGTAACTGGTATTCACGCAGGATTTAAAGAATGAATTTTCCGTTTAGTAAAGACTTAAAAAAGTCATGTGACACACACTAATAATCTGCAATTTGAGAAACTGAACAATATGTCAACAATCTAGTTTTATGAATTTTTAAGGGATCATTTATTTGTTCCTAAATAACAATTTTGGTTCTTGTGACATAATTTTCGTTGAAAATATGCAAAACGTACTGTCCGCGAATGCCACAATATTATTTTACGGATATAAATATATAAAGCATGGTGAAACAGACTTCAGTTCCTTTCATTTTAACATTTAACTCTATAAAACATCTTTTTTTATTTACAATTTATATGTTTTAATGTTTCTATGCTCACCAAAATCTTTACCTACTATCTAAAGTATATTATGGAAATAACTTTCTTGAAGGATTAAGAAAATTAATAAAAACAATCACATACACAACATAAAATACAGAATACGAGAAAAATATATAACAATACAATAGTTTTAAGCCCTTGATGCGATTAAGCAAAAAATATTTTTTTAACAATAAAAGCAATAACTAGATGACTGACATTTATAATTCTACAAGTATTTCAATCTTTTTTTGACGTCACGAAGTCTGAAACAGCAACAATGTGGTCCATAGAGTTTCTCATGTGGAATGAAGGAAGAGATCCTAAGAACCTACGACAACGGATCTCCATATTCAGACGTTTTTCTTTTTTGACTCCTGAAGCTTTTGATATTTTTTAGATTCATTTTCTCTTTATTATAGGATAGAACAACTTGCTGAGCAGCAGTTACTTGATCGATCCTTAGATTTCTGCCGCTGATCTGAAAGCAGAATGATATTAAAATGAGTATACGCATAACAGATATATAAATAAATTGTAAGTTCCAGATATAATTTATGCGAAAATGAGCACAATTTTATAATCATGTAAACTTTATAATGCATAAAATAATCTCAGAATTTTCGCAGTTTTACATATTTTATTAGAAATTTGTCTTATACACACCGCATTTCTTCGCCTATTCCCCACCTTTTTTATTATCTTTATAACGATAACGGAAATCGATAACGGAAAACTCTGCGAATAATTTAATTTCCGAAAGATGAGAACAGCAGTAAGAACATAACTAATGAAGAGTAATCATTAAATTACACCTAACTATCATATTATTTCTTTAAAAGAAACCTGCATTCGAATAAGAATATCTGGTAATATTAACATTAAAAAATCTAATAAAATATCTTCATTTCTACTTCCCTGTAACTTGAATCCCGCTCGTTCTTATTGTTGTCTCAGCTACTCCGGCACCAAGCTGTTGGCGGTCTCCCGTCGTGGTACATTCAACATCAAACTCGCGAAACGTAATTGATAGTGAGTACGCTGCTTCGGCTCGATGATGCTCTTAATGGGGTCGTCATGTCGGAGCAGGCTTATGTGAGTTTAATAGGATACTCTAATTTTAGGACCAGATAATTCCAATAGTGTTGTGTCAGCTACTTCCTCGGCCTCAAATCATTTATAAATAATTAGAAAAGGTGAATGTGCAGTGAAATCGTAGGCTGAATATCAGCCCGCGTTAGCTTCGCTATCATAAAATTCAACAGTTAGAAATGAAAGGTTCTGCATGAACTTCTTAGGTAGTTTGCGAGCATTTGTTTTTTGTTAGTAAGACGAAAACAGTGAGCGACTCTGTCGTAAAATTAGGCGAGCTTGTTCTCTAAACGCATTGAGGAAGGGGAAAATTATGCGAATATTTTTTAAATATTCAGAATCTGGCGCTAAAAAGCTAGGGGGGGCGGAACGAAGAAATACGGTCTACATAATTTCAGTTGCGTCTGATAAAGTCGCACTTTAAAAGCATTCACGAGAAGTTCATAGGTTATGGGATTAGTTCGTGATTATAATTAAATAATTAATAAAAAAATTTTTATCTCTGCGTTGACAAATACAAAACTGTAATGATGCTGGAAGAAAATACTATATCTCATAAAACAAGAGAATTTATTTATAACCTACAAATGAAAATGAACACGTTTGCCCTCACCTCTTGGAATATTCGATACGCATGACGCATCAGCTAGCGATAATTCACTTAAATGTAAACGGTTATCACATTTTTGTAAATATTTCTATTTTTGTAAGGCGCAAATAATTTTATTTTAAACTGCAGTGAAGTAAATTTTCAATGTCTGAAAATTAAGAGGACACTAGATTGGATTGGCCCACCAGCGGCCGAGCGGTAAAAGCCCCTGAAACTGATAGTTCGTTTCGGGGATCGAGTCCCTCCAAACGGGCTGGCTGCATAGGCGTTTCGTGGTTCTTCCCATGTGTAACGTGAATGGTATAAACATAGGACCCATATAAACATGGATCCGTGCCAGTTTCCGTAAAAAAGAACTTCACGGGGTATCCTTCCCTTTCGGTGTAGTGCCTAAAGGTGGAACATATAATAAATAAAATAAAATAAATAAATTAATAAAACTAGATTGGACTTTTAATTCTAAATTATTTATTTATTTGGTGGTATAAATGCATAGAGCATAATCTGTATGTTGTTTCAAGGTTATACCAGGAATTTGAAATTATAGATTTTACGCACGAGAATATACACTGAAAAATGTGATTTCTGAGATTTTAAAAGAGTATGAAATTCCAAGGGAATTATGGTTGACGAAGAAACGGAAGAACTTCTCCCCTCATGATACAATTGAAACTGACCTTTCTTCAAAAAAAAAAAAAAAAAAAAAAAAAAAAAAAAAAAAATCCGAAAAAGCCAAAGAAAAAAATCATATATCACAGGGTTATAGAGAAATAGTTATAAAATTTTGTTGCAGTATAAGAAAGAATTTTTTTGAAAAAAGAGCTGGCAATGTGTCCAGAAGAAATTTAGGTACAGTGATGGGCATAAGTGAATGCGCATTTTTCATTTTTTTCAGAAAATTGGGGGGGGGGGAGAAATTGAAAAAAATTAAATATTTTTATCAAACATATGCCATTTATATAATTTTTGAAATATGATAAAGATAAATACAAAAAGATAAATTAATATTAAAATTAATAAATTCACAGAATAAATAGAACATTTCAACCCATCAAAATGGAGAATGAAAGTTAAAGCACAATGATGAAAATATCACAATAAAATATAGTCAATTATTTTGTTATGAATCCCCTATTTTTGACAACAGCATTGAGCTTACTTCGCAAGGGACTCACCAATGTTTTTATTGTTTCAGAGGAAACTTTGTTCCATTCTTCTGGAAGAAGCCTTTTCATGTGGTCCACATTCAGCGTATCGTGTTTCCTTACCCTGTTGCCAAGTTCTTTTAAAAAATGTTCGATGGGGTTTAAGTCAGGGAATTGAGCTAGATGACCGACAGTGTGAGGCCTATGATAGAGTAACCACAGACGGACGATATGTGCCTTATGTTTGGAATCACTGTCCTATTGGAAGCAGAATTTGTTTCATAAATGAAGCTTACGGGCGCTTTTTTGCAGATTACGTTTAAGGCTATTCAAACACACATGCTGGTCCGTTGTGCCCTCAATGAAATCAAGATTGCCGACACCCGACATACAGGCTCATACCATCATACCTTTGCCCCCGTGCTTTTCTGTTACTTTAACACACTCTTTTCGAAGCTTAGTTCGCTTCTCTCTAAACTAAATTCCATCCATTACAATGAATTAATGAAAATTTACGTTCATTAAAAACCAATACATTTGACCAAAGTGCTCTTACCTTTATTCAAATGCTCCCTTGCAAAAGGCAGCATTCCTTTTCTTTCGATTAGCTTTGTTGATATATGGTTTTCTTCCGACTCCTCTAGATTTATAACCACTCTAATGAAGAATTCTGCGGATAGTTTTTGTATGAACTATTTTGTTAAAGTCTTCCTTGAGTGTTGTTACGATAGAACTTGAAAAAAATTTTGGATTCATTTAACAATATTGATAACTTTTCTTTCTTCCCTATGAGTGAGGCATTTTTTGGCGGCTACATCTTGTTGCATTTACCACAATACCACATGATTTGAAATATTTTATTACAGTTCTTAATGCATATCAACTTCTATTTATTATTTCAACAATTTATTTTAATGCTTTATTCTGATTATATAAACGGATGCTTATTTTTCTTTCTTCAATCGTAGTTTCCACATGTTTACTAGTCATTTCAAAATTTCGACGAACTAAGACCTTCAGATAAAGAAAACTATTACTTGTCTTATATCTCTCTGATCGGAAGATATAGAATGAAGCAACATAACTTAATTTACATAAACAAAGCTCAACACTGTGCTTTCACTTGTGTCCTTCATTTTCATGCGTTAAAAAATTCTATTTATTTTTATAAGTTTATTAATTTGAAATTTAATTCAACATTTTGTAGGCATCTTTATAATACCTTAAAGATTATATAAATAGTAAATGTCTTGACAAAAATAATGTACCCATTTTCTGGCAAAATGCAAAATGTGCCTTCATTTACGTGCATCACTACAGGTGAAACGTTATATTATCGAGAGCCACAGCTCCAAAAGTCTGGTATTCAGAGAAGAGGAGAGAGAAGGAGAAAAAATATAGAGGTTTCTTTTATTGGAAACTGGCTAGTAGTTAATGTTACACATGGGAAAAGGCACGAAAATTCCCATGCAACTAGCCTATTCGTCGGGTTGAGAACTCAGTTCGAATTACCAGTGTTCAATTATTCTAACGCTCGAGCATCGGCGGGTTTATTTTTCTAAACTTGATTTAACTCATTTCGCCAGTTGCAGATTACAGTTACAGTAAAACAGTTTATTGCCTTAATAATTTTTTCTAACTGCCCCTCAACTGTGCTATACATACAGTTCGTAGTTAGCGCATTCATTACCTCTAACTATAACGACTTCAGTACGAGATATCTTTCAACAATAAGATATATGTGACTTTCAGAATTTCTTGTAATCTGGCCTAATGTTTCAAAGACGAAATTTCAATCAGTTCTATTTTAAACTTTCATTTTTAAGTTACTGCGCACTGACAGCCAAAATTTGTATCTTTCGGTTTCTGTCTTTTCATTACTTGAATTCATCAGCTTGGAAGACTTTCCAAATTTCAGAACTGCATTTTGGAAATTTTGAAATTGCCAACTAGCGTTGTATTGCCAAATCTAGCTATTTTTCACATTTTTTAAACTTCTTATCGCTAGTATGCTAGCAGTTAAAAGTTTTCACTAGTACGTATTTCTAGGTCAGCAGTTTCATACACATGTTTTCCAGAAAAATAAAGAGTTCAGGGTTGGGAGAACTTCTTTGGAATTAGGGACCCAAATAAGACCCGTATAATAAGAATTGCCATATTGCCAGAAATGCTATGCCTACTTTAGTTATGTTCACTTCTTTAACTTGCTACACACAGGACAGCGCGATGCCCAGGAACCTGCATTCGTGACTTCGTCACCCCTAATCAAATTCGTAAAAAATGGAGGGAGCAACAACTGAACTCTTAGGCGGATGAATAACAATTTCTTCCTCCCAAAAACTCTTAGGCGAATGAATAACAATTCATAAACCCATTGTAGAGTCACTCTTGCAATTTGTGACTTAGCATTAACCTGTTAACGAATCACATCAAGTCTGTTGATTAATACAAATTCTTGGTTGTTAAATCCTTGGTTAAAAAAGTATGCCTTCCATATCACGCCGCATGTAAAAAAAAACCTGCTTTGATTACTCTGCGAAATATGGTATCTCTTTTGCGCTCAACCACTGTCTTTATCTCTTTGAATATGTATCCAACATATTCAAAGAGACTCATTTCTTGTGAACAAAGAAG